ATAACAAAATTGGACTAAAATAATTCTATAAAATAGAATTATCAATTTCTCCAATATTCAACTTCAAACGTCAGCTCCTGGAAGTGAAACTACTTCAGCAAAGAAGAGGGAAAGGACAAATGAGATGGGTGATCCCATTACATCTGAATCAATTATTACTGTTGTCATGATATTAAGTGAAAACATAAAAAAGGCTAGAATTGAGTTCAACAAGAGTGTTGGGGGTGAGTTAAACATCCAACAAAAGGCTCAAGAGTTGGATGGGATTTTAAGTCAAGTAAAGGTATTGACAGCGAAGGAAAGGGTTCTTACTTCAATCAAACTTCTTGAATCTACAACTCTTATATTTGTGTTTTTTAGTATTGCTCCTGATCGAAGATTTAAATAGATGAGGACATTTCTTGCTGACCGTTGAGCTCGGATGGCTCTGAAACTTGTTGTGAAGGTAAGTTCATGATATTGTAACTTTTTGGCACTTGTGGTTGATTTTAATACTAATTATGAGGTTCATTAACAAGTCTAAACCTTGTTTAGCTTACTGTTGTATTACTAGTTGTATAATGATGATATTATTGTAGCTACCTTGTTAGATTTATGCATGCTGTAAGTTAATGTAATAGGATGAACATTCATCCATTACTATCAAGGTCAGTGTACTTTTTAAATTAAATCTTGACTTTTGACTCGGTGTAATATTCTCACATTGTTTCTTTTTTTGGTATTTATGTTTCCTAAGCATCACATGCTTGGTTCAAAGATATGATTTTCTTTTTTTCTTTTGAAAGGTAATATGATTATCTATTTAATATGTCAAGAGACGTAACTTACTTTTTTTTTAAAATAAAAAATGGAAGACCATCTTTCTAATTTAAAAAAAAATGATTTTCTATTTAATATATCAAAAGACATGATTTTATATTTCTATTAATTTTTTTTGTTTTTTGCCAAATATTTCTTCTCCAATATTTTGTCTAAACAATATCTTGAAAATGATCCATAATATATGAAAAATTGTCTAAAAACAAACATCTATACACAAAATTTAATTCATGATGGATAAAATATAATGTGATTAAATTATATTTTAGAGTAATTGTCTATTTATAAAAATATGTAAGTAAATTATAATTATTGTTTACATTTGGGATAAAATATAATTATGATGGATAATTGTCCTTTAGGATAAATATGTATTGAAATTATAATAAGGATAATTTTTTTTATGAAAATAAATGTTAATATAATAAAAGTTATTTTTATCTTTTTATCACTTATACATTTTTTATTCCAATATTATTTTTACCAACCAAACATTGCAATAAGTCATAATAGCAATTCCTGCTCTATTCCACTCACAATACCAAATAACATAATAATTTTTCTATTATATTTCTATTTTAATCTATTCCCATAAAATGGTTATTCTATTCTATTGTTATTTATTCTGCGAACCAAACATTCAATACTTTTTATTATATTACTTGTTAACAATATGTGTATTTACGTGATAAATGCGACAACAATTGTCAAAGATCACAATCACGATTGGAATTTGAATTTGAACTTGAATTGGAGTTAAATCAATACGGCAGTCCTACATCTGGAGTTAATGTACTTAGGGGTTCTTTAGTTTAATGTATCCATTTATTGTAATTTTGCATTTCTACTTGTATTAATAAGTCCAAAATAATTTGTTTTGACACTCAATAATAAATTTGCATAATTCTCAAATATATATATATATATATATATATATATATACATAACTTTTAAACAGGCATCACTTTTTTAACAACATTAAAATCATATAGATACTAAAAAAGTATATTGATCTCTCAAATCCAAAAGATAATTAATAACCAATAATAAAGCTTTCCTTTAATAACTGATTAGTGATAAGCTTATGTGGTATCTTGTAATTAGATCTTATTCAATATATGTATGTATCTCATACGTTACACTTGCTCGTTTGCTTTAAACTCACAATTCCAATGATAGAATTAAAACATTTTGTTTTCAAAAAGAAGTATAACAAGTGTAGATTTTTAACATTGTCACATTTATAACATAAAACAATTTTGATAACCAAGTAATTGAATAGCTATAACTCTTTGCTTAATGGTTTGTCAACTATTAGCAAAATTTTTCACAATGTCAATAAATCATTTATAATCATGTCATAAATAAATAAAATACTCACTAATAAAAAATAAATGTGAAACAATAATTAATACAATAATTTATTTATTTAATAAATATTATCAAACTAAATATCCAGGTTAGGCCCCAGAGAGATGGAAATATGAAAGATGAAAGGAACAAAAGAAAGTTATATTTAGAAAGAAAGAGAATCAAGATGTTTTTCTGTTACTCATATCTCATGGCATTAGATTGGAGAAAAACCTTTTGAGCAGCAAAGAACATGTGCAGTATGCAGCATATAAATGGTTGACAAAGCATTAACAGCAAGCCTTTTGAAGACCACATGGAAAGTAAAGATGGCTCTTTATAACATCATGTCCAAACTTTAAAATGTCATCACATCAGAAGTCAGCGACAGAATGCATCCCAAACAGTTGGAATGAACTTAGAACATGAAATGAAACTCTAACACAATAATTACATCCTGTGGAAGGGGTAAAAATACATACTCACCATGAAGGCAATTTTAAATAAGATGGGTTAAAAGACCTAGAATAACATCTGTATCTTAAATGCTTCTTCGTTCTTGCACACAAAATGGGGTCAACTCCTAAGTAGGTCGTTTCTAGGTTTTGCAAAAAATAACAGTAAGTCACACCTGAACTTGGAAATGGTAATTTACCTCTGAAGTCTGCTGCAAGCACTTTCTTTTCCCTATGACAAGTTCATTTTCCCATCATAGCGTTCCTTCGTCAGAAAGTTAGTCTTAAAATACCTGCAAAACCTCATTCTTGATAAAATGTCACATCGATACTTTCTATATGAATCAGTTATACTTGGTCTGTAAGCTGCTTCTCAATTTTCTTCTTCAAAGCCTTTTCGAAGTCACGACTTGACAATGATAAAATCTGATTCAGCAGTAATTTCACACCAGAGTCCTTTACAACTGCAACTCGTGGTTTAATCCTCTCCTCCAAGCTGTAGCCAAAATATTGAGGGAATTTAACCAGCTCTGACTTTGAATAATCCATGGTTAAAAAGAAATCCCATTTCGGTATCAAGTTATCTACCAAGCTAAAAGTATATAATGCTCCATATCTTGAAGTCATAATCCCAACTTCCTCGACAGTGTATCCTTTATCAAGAAAAAATTCTGTTACAGGCTTCAAATTTGCCTCAATGCTAAGGCCAAATGTCTGCGGACATCGTAGTAGAAGAACAGCAACATCAACACCCAATGAGCAGAAGTACTTAGCTGTAGGCCGTAGCTTGTCCTCCACACTATAACTTATTATGTTTGGACAGCGTGTTAGAATCTTACCAACATTCTCTGACGAAACGCCCATTTCATAGAGGAAATCTAAAGTCGTCTTAACCTTTTGCCTGCTATAAGTAAGAAGTGCAGGAAACCGGTATATAACTTTTGCCCACTGTTTCTTGTCCACACCCAAGGTTTCTAAGAATGTCATGGTGGGTATAAGATTTTCAGAGAGACTAATTCCACACAGTTGAGGCCTTTTACTGAGAATTATGGGAATGTCAGACTTTGGTACACCAAGTTCAAGAAGGAACTCGACAACAGGTTTGATTTTCCCCTCCAGACTGTAGTAGGCAAAAGATGGGAATCTGCGTATAATTACCTTGATCTTCTCAAGATCCATACCAAGCTCCATGAGGTAGAGAACTTGAGGACGGAGCTTCCCTGCTGGGCCTGTCTCACTAACACGAGAGACAGCTTTTAACTTCTTGGAGTCAACGGCTGAATCTGGAGGAGATACCTGCGTTACAGGTTTATCTTTAACTGGTGGGTCAGGAAAATTTTCAACTACATCAACCAGAGTTCTTCCATGCTCTTCAAGGAGAGATTCAAGGTAAGGGGTAAGAGCATCCCTGATCTCAAGAGTTGTAAGCTCTCTTCCTGCAATGTCAAGTAGCATTTCTTCAGCAGCTTAACCAATTAGAATAACAACATTCATGCTAATGTAGCGAACAGACAGTAAAACATTGCAATCGGACCTACAAGATACCGAGATTTATGAACAGAATGAAGCCTTGACACAAGGTGGTCAATAAAAAGGTCCGATTTGTTGATGATTCTTGCAGCAACTGCATTGCTCAGACCCTGCTTCTTCAAGAACAAGGTTAAAACAGCCTTAGCTTCTTCTTTTTCTGCTGTAATCACGGTTGGCGACACCACTCTTAAACTAAAAGATCCATCTACCTCAGAATCAGCTGTTAACAAACAAAAGTCAGAGTTAGTGTCCCATAGAGAAAGATAAGCAGGAAAGTATGGTAAAATTTGTTAGTAGATGTTGGCACAGTCTCCAAAGACATTGCTTACCAAACTTTGCTCTGCAGAAGAAGAGTTTCTCAGGGAAAGGAAGTCCAGTCCTATAAGAAAATAAAGCAAATTATCGCTTTAGCATAGTGTCTCTGCCGAGCAATTGAAACGTCATTTAGTCAGGCATTCTGGAAGCATAAAAAATTCACTACAGAATCAGTAATTGTATCTAAGGAACACTGCTTCAATTTTGAGATACACTCTTCTAATAAAGTACCCCAAGATTCTCCATTTCTTAAATTATCTCATCTATTGCCCCATTCTGCTGACTAATTGTTTTATCACTTGCTGCAGCTCTAAGATTTCTTCATTAAGGAACAGGAAACCTCTGCTCTTTGTTCCCAATACCTCGCTAACTGTCCAACTCGATCAAACCTCCTTTGAGGTTCAATCTCAAACTGCAAATTGAATCAAACATTTGTTATAAAGAATACAAATATAATCCAAATCTGAAAGCGAGACTAGAACCCCGTACGTCATAAGTGTCTACAATTGGTTTTCCTCTCTCCACACATTTAATAACTCCATCTCTCCTCATTACCACCGACTTACTCACAAAGATGCAATACTAACAGTGTGAAAAGTTCCAAACATTCAAGACACCAATATGTGTTACAGGTAATATATGGTCACTTCCAATCACCTTGTTCTTGTCACACATCACTTAGCAAAATTCATTGGGCATGTCACCTAAATACACACCCTGAGTGACATTGGGAAGTCCAAAGGAACCAGAGTCAAGTCAATAATTCAAATTTTTTTTTTTCACAAAACAGATATTGTCCGCAGTTATCCAACTAAATAAGTGTAACAACAGGGAGAAAAAAGGCTCATTTTAACACACAATAAAAAAAAAAAGAAGCCCAGAAGCCTTCCTTAATTTCAACAACAAAGACACACAAAGTTCACTTCTTATACTCATTATCTTCCAGTAAAGCAAAAACCCAAGTAAGATTTCTTCCAGTAAAGCAAAAACCCAAGTAAGATTTCTTCCAGTAAAGCATCTAACTTCAAAATACCCTTTTGCACAACATTACAAATAAATAAAATGGGAAAAAGAAGGTATTGATTTCCCTTTATCATCTAGTAAAATATGAAAGGAAATGCCGGAGTGTCAAAAGAATATTGAAACAATGAAGAGAAAGAAGAGGTAAAGCGAGCACCTGGAAATGGGGAAGGGTCCTCTGGAAAGAGAAGAGAGGTCCAATGATGGCCGGATTGCACAAAAGGCCCTCATTTTCCGCTTTCAAGTTAGAAACCCAGAACATTTTCTATGGCTTTTCAAGTGTCAGGATATATAGGCTAGGACAAAGACTGCTGCCAAATATCAGGCTCGTGAAGTTCCTGCCACAACTTTATAACACGATGCCGTATTGTCTTATGAGGACTCTCAGAGAAAAGCAAGGGTAAATTACAAGAGGTTGAATCAATCCGTTATTTCATTTATGTCGTGGATAGTTAAAGGGTTTAGATTTCGTTATCAAAGTTGAAAGTGTAAGGGGGATTTTGTAATAGAGCATCGTAAACAAATAAAAAGATATGTCGGAAAAGAAAGATTCAAACAATTCAAGTATTGAGTGTGGACGAGAATAATAAGAGAATTAAGAAGTAAAAGAGAAATAAAATAAATTTAGAGAGAAGCTTTAAAAGAGAATGTATTAGCTCTCAAAGGAAGAGAAGTCCTCTAAGATTACATTTGGTTAGTTAAATAGATAGCAATAGAATAAAATAGTTATTTTGTGATAATAGAATAAGTTAAGAATAAAATATAATAATTATTATGTAATTTGGTACAAGTAATGTAGTAGATGAAGAATAGTTATTATAGCTTATTATAACATTTGGCAACTAAAATTAATTTTGAAATAAGAAAAGAATAAAGTATAAAAAGATAAAAATATCTTTTATAATATACATGATTATTTATTTTTGATTTATATTTTTTAAATATTAATAATTTAAAATCTATTCAAAATATTAATAATTGATCATTTAAATATTAATATTTTATTTTTATTTTAATCATTAATATTTTAAATTTTTAATATACTATTTATAATTTAAAATATTATTATGATTATTTATTTTTATTTTTTAAATATCAATAGTTTATAATTAATTTAAAATATTAACAATTGATAATTTAAATATTAATATTTTATTTATAATTTAATATTTTAATCAATTTTAAAAGTTAAAATATATTTCTAAAACATATTATTAAAAATTTAAACTTTTTTTTATAATAATAGTAACAATTAATAATTTAAGTACTAATATTTTATTTATAATTTAATCATTATCATTTAAAAAGGTTAATATTTTATTTATAATTTAAATGTTATTATGGTTTAAATATTAATATTTTAATTAATTTTAAAATTTAAATATTATTTTTATAAAATATAATATGTAATTTTTAAACTTATAAAGGACATTTCGATCATTATCATTTTTTGAAGCTAATCCTTAGCCAAGAAATAGCTAATACCATATGGGGTGTTGGTATTAGCTATTCTTTAGTTTTAACTTATTTTGGAGAATAGCCATTCTAAAGGAATGGGTTTTCCTTGGAGCATATGGGAACCAAACAAAAGAAAAGTTGTTTCTTAGAATTAGCTATTCCCTCAACCAAACATGCTATAAATAAATTGCGAGACTCTATATATAATACCAAAAGTGACAGTTATTCAAGAATAAGTTTTAATATGCCTAATGAATAATATTATTATGATAAGCTTTAACGGGAGTAATGGTTACTGTAACACATTATGTGGACATTTAGGTGGTGATTTTATAGCAAATAATGTGAGTGATCATTGAAGTAATTAGGTGTAATAAGACTTGTTATCAAATATGAGGTAATAGAGAAGAGATAAACGAGAAAAGCCATATTAGAACAAGTTTAGAGAAAAAGGTGTATGCGAACAGGTATAAAAGAAGAATATGTACGTGCACAGATATATAAGAACAAAATAGGAGGGTGAAACACCAATACTTCAAGAAAAGATTAAGAGGAAGACCTCTTAACTACTTTTACATCTAAGCCACCAAGCCAAACCCTTTGAAACATCTCAAGATGAAAGTAACCCATAAACCCTACCATTTATTCCAAGTTGCTTTCACTATTATCCGTGTGAAGTAGTTATTCTAATAATATTAATTGTTCCATATGGAGCAGTACTCCACTTAGTATAGTTGTTTTTTGTGAAGTAGTATTTACTTATTCTAATTTTCTGTACGAAGTAATATTTCACTTGTTTAAGGTGTTTTATGTGAAGTAGTGGTTGTTTTCATTATTCTCTGTATAATATTATATTGTAAAATAATTCTTTAGAAAATAGGTATTAACCCAAATTGACTATGTACATTTTCCTTTTACATAAGAATTATTTCTTAAAAATAATTGTTATGTATTAATTTAGAATGTAAAAGTTTTATTTTGTACTATAATGTATTGTACAATAACACTTCAAGTAGTAATGCCTCGGGTAATATCGCCTTACACAGTAACACCTTAGCTAGTGATGCTTTAAGTAGTAACATATTACTGTCTTGTGTAATATTTGATTGCTCATGTACCAATATATTTTTCATAAAATAAGATTTTCAAAATATAAATCATAAAAGGAAAATTAATCTTTTTTCATAAAAACCTTGATTCTATATGCCTTATAAATATGAAACTTACTATAAACAATTTTTTTCATTCAAATTCCAAGCAAAACAAAATTCAAAGTAAAGTATGTTCTTTTATGAATCTTTTTGAGCAAGTAAGCTCTTCTTCTTGTTGTTGTTATAATTTCTTGTTTACTCTCTCTTTCTTTTTATTTGCATTTTCTTGCTTTCAAAAAATTGCATTTCTTTTGCTTGTTGTCCCTTGCATGAATTTTTTTTTATATGATAAAAGAAAACTTTTCATGCATGAGATGAGGCTTTTTAATTGAAAGAGAAATTTTTTTTTATTTATATAAATATGTTCAAGCAAACAAATAAATTGTTTGATTTTAGAAGAACTTAAAACAAGCATTATTTATGTTTCATAAGAAAGCTATCTTAGTAAACAAAAGGAGAAAAATTTGTCTTAAAACAAGGATTTGTTTCAAGTGATGATTTATAATTTGTAGCTAAAAGTAAAATTACAAAAGCAAAAGTGCATAAGACAAGCAAACACCACAAGAAAAAAAAAATTATTTAATTGACTTTTTGTCGCTCCTGATTGTTTTTGATATATAACTATTATTTTATTTTGAATTCCTTACATGTGTAACCTTTGATAGAAACATTTAATAGGCAAAAAGATATAGGAAGAGAAACAACAGAACAAATAAAAGATACCAAGTCTCCTGTATGCCAACTTCTATCTGTAAGCAAGTTAGAGTGAAAGAAACAAATAAAAGTAAACCTACATTTGGTTTTTTATTTTGTTTACTAGTAGCATAAGCTGTGGTTCTCTTTTTTTTTATGCATATATAAATGGGTCTTTCTAATATTTGTAACAACCTGTATCCTTATTTAAAGGTTGATGAGACTTTATTGATGAGAATAAAGGTTATGGATGTAAGTTTGAGTGTTAGAGAATGGCAATAGGTAGATAAAATATTTTTGAATAAAATAATATTAAAATATTAATATTTTATTTATCAGTAAAATTAGTTAAAATAGAGAGTTATATGACTAATCTAAGTAAAGGAGGAGAAGGAAAGAGGAAATTTGGAAGAAAACAATGAGGTTAGAGGAAACCCGCATGCTTTTATGAAATATAGCACAATCGAGTAATTATATATTTAAATATTATGGTGACATGCTAATGGCGTGTAAACTTTATATTATATTTATACACATGTCAAGAAAGGAAATAAAAGAAAAATTGAAATTTAAACAGTGATGGGATGACTCAATAAAAAGAATGAGAACTTAGAAGGGCTAAATGACGATTTTATTATTTAGCTTGGTCAAAGCTTACAAAGGAAGCTTTGACTTTTCTTTTTCTTATTTTTTTCACGTGGTCGGTCACCTATGTAAGACTTATTGGGAAAATTTGGTACAAGAAAGTAAGGAAAGGATGAGAGAAGGATCAAAGGGAGAAAGACAAAGAATTTTCTATGTGTTGACTAAATAGATAACCTTTAAACTTTCTTGAATTTTTTTTCTATTTACACCACATGGCCGGCCAAAAAGGAGTAACTTTTAC